TAAGTTCCTATTTTGTGGAGTGTCTAAATAAGTTCCTATTTTGTGGAGTGTCTCCTTTATCTACTTCTTCTCAAAAAATATATGAAGGTACTAGGGGAGTCCTATGTTGGCACAAACAATATGCTGATGATGCCCAGCTAGATATCTCATTCCCGGGCTGAACAGGTGATGTTATAGAAGTAATAACCCAGTGCCTGGAGGCTGTCATGATCTGGATGGGGAAGAATAGATTGACTGCATCCCTCCAAGAGAGAGTGATTTTGGGTTTGAGGGCCTAACAATTTCAGGGAAATTATATCTTTGACTCTGAAAGGGGTTGTACCCTGTTCAGAGGTGGTCTACAATTTGGAAGTCCTTCTAGATTCACAGTTCCTACTTGAGAAGCATTTGGAAGCTTTGGCTAAGAGGGCTTTTGCAGAGTTACATCTTGCATACCAGTTGCAAGCTTTCCTGGACTGAAGGCCCTGCTCACAGTCTCATGCTCTATTTGGTTAGAGTACTATAATGCACTCTGTATGGGGCTGCCCTTGAAGAACATCCAGAAACTGCAGCTGGTGCAGAATGCAGAAGCCTGGGCAAGTTTGCCTATCTTGATAAGCTTGGGTCACCCTGCTGCTTCAGGAACTGCAACTGTTGTCGATTGCCTTCTGGGTATGATTTAAGGTGCTGGTGGTTACCCTTAAGATCCTATATAGCTCCAGACCTGCTGAGGGGCCACATTCTCCTGTATTCTACTGCCCATCCAACTAGATCAAATAGGATCAATTCCTGTAGAGGAATGCAGAGATAAGCTTGACAGCAAGGTATGCAAGAATAGTTAAGGGAAAGTAAGAGACAACTCTGCCCTGGAAAAGGAGAAAGCATGAGAAAGAAACTTGAGATATTCACGCTTTAATTCTTCTTTAATAAGAGGGAGCAGAGGGAAACTGTGGCAGGCTATCATGATTCTGTAATTTTACCCTACAACAATAAAGCAGTATTCATGTAATCCTTCTGCTGTCTCTTTCCTAACCTGGTCTACTTCAAAGGGCTGACAATTCTTTCCAAGTCCTATCTCTCCAAGATATCCCCTAATGGAGCCCTTGAGGTGGCCATTTCTGATGGCTGTTCCCATTCTTTGGAACTCCCACCCAGTGGAAATTTGATCTGTTTCATCCTTGCTAGGCTTCAGGGCAATCTTGAATAACTTCCTGTTTCATCTTGCACTGGAAAAATGTCTTCTCTGATTAGAAAGTGGGGTTGTGGGTGCAGTGTATTTGTATTGAAATTGCTCTCACTTAAATTGGTTTAAAGTGAACGTTATTGCTGTAGTACTCCAAATGCAATTACTCCAAAAGTTATTACCATGGTATTCTAAACACAGCAAAATTATGCTTAATATCCAGAAACCACTGGATCATAGCTTTTCAAGTTCCATCTCAATTCAATAAAAATGTGTACATTTTTTATGTTTGCTGTTAGTTTGCTGTTAAGTTTCAAACATTAGTATTCAATAATTTTGAATTGAACTGTGTAAAAAAAAGAAAATCACATCCTATACCAAATAAGAGTCCAAGTTTTATAAAAACCTGTTCTATACCAGATTAATGTCTTCAATAAGTTCAGATAACTAAGTTAAGAAAGCTGTTGTATTTTTTCCAAATATAAAACTTATAATCAGAACCGAGCAGAAAATGTAACATTCTATATTAAAGCAATGGCAGAAATGGGTAGCAAAATTATTGCTTAATAATTATAAAAAGTATGGTCAGCTTCTCAAGAGAAAGTCAAATTTATGAGAATTAAAGAAAAGCTAAATATACTTAAAGGATTAATTAAAAAAATCAACTGTACTTAAATTGAAGAAAGTACCTACTACACAGTTAGTTGGAAACTGCAGGAGAACCTAGAAAAATATTAAAATGCAGAGATGGAACAAGAGTAATTTAAACTTAAATTTTCAGAAATATATCTTACAGGTCTGTTAGGTATAAAATGTTTCATGGAATGAAATGTGCCCTGGGAAGAATCAATAGGGCTAGGAAAATCATTCAGAAAAGATCTGCAAGTATATAAATGAAGGAACTTTCTTCAGTTCATTAAAGCAGCTGTATTTTCTCCTAGGCTTGTGCAACTGCTTTGAAAGATACTCCAGGTTGTTTCCATATATCTGTGTGTGTGCGCAGGCACGTCAAAATATTTTGCAAAAACGTATTACCCAATAATTTTGAGTATTTGGATTCTATACAGTTCTACACTGCACCTACATTATTCTAAGAACTTCAGTTAATGCCAGTTTCTACAAAGCTAAACAAATAAGAGTGTCATCTTCACAATCCTATTATTCCATGAATTACTCTGTATTTTATACTGTCAAGCAGCTTGTGTCCTGTAAATAATTAAAATACCATAAAATGTAACAGAAATTAAAGAGATGCATTCCCATTTCATAATGCATCTACTGGACTTTGGACGTCTATATACATACCTGATACAATCCTACTGTAGTGAAAAAATCTTCTTTCCCTTGCTTGTCTTTCAGTGATGAATAATTACTCTTGGAAATAAACAAATGAGCTCCAACATGTTCTGCTTCTTCAGGCACCGGTGTGCTTGCTTGAGGCAGGTCACATTTTTCCTATCCAGAAGAATGTAAAAGGTTATATTAGGGATTCTGATGTCAAAACAAATCTTCCATTACCATCAAAAAAGTTACTCTTCAAAGCAATATCAGGAGTTTGTGATCACAGGAGAAAATCTAATCCATCCTGTCATCCTATGAACTTCTACAGATTGCTGTTTAAGATAAAATTTCTTGATTTTGGAAAACCCCAAAATATGCTATTGAATCTTGCTCCAACAATGTCAGAAAACTCCTGGTTCCCTGCCATATCTCTGAACTAGGAAAAAAAAATAAGACTACCACTGATTTCTCTAAATATGTTTCCTTCCAATGTATTTAATGGAATGGCATTAATAAGAATAATTGGAACGGACCTCAGATTTCTGTTTCAGTTTCAGTTTAATATGTGCTAGTTTTTCCTAATTTTGTATCCTCCAGTTGTGATGGGCAATTATGGATATCCCCACCTTTCATCATTATGGTATGTATCTGTGGGAAGATTGGTACATATGGCATGTAATCTTTTACCTTATTATCATTAAAAAGAATGATATCCTTGTAATTAATTCTCCATCCAATATCACTGATTTGCTTTTGAAAGTTGCCTTTATAGATCTTCATAAATATTGTCACACCAATGGCCCCCAATATGGTTATTATCAGGAGAATTGTAACAACCAGAGCTGTACCTTCTAATGACAAAAAATAGTACAGGTTATTATGGAACAGGCAGAAGGAGCTCAGTCTTGGTGAAGCATGCTATCTGATACAAGAATTGTGAATTACTTTTTAGAAATCTCAGGATGCAAGTCTATCAAACAATTGCAAAAAGAGGTTCTTCTTCCTAGTTATAAATGTAGAATTTAGAATTTAACAAGGCAATAAGAATCATGGATGAAACTTTTTTACATTGGTGGGAGATAGCTAAAAGAATTATTACAGAACTTTTGGAGAACAAAACCAATTCGCAGCAATGGATTATCTCATGTTTGTCAACATTTTCCAGATGTTACTGAATTCCGGCTCCCACTGGCTTCAATTAGTGCAGCCAATGGCCGTAGTTCAGCTTCATCTGATGCTGCCTGCTCCTGAATTAAACTATGGAGCTTTGTGGAGAAGCTGCTTTGCTCAGTGCCTGAACTGTCCCCAATGAGGTGCAATTTAATTTTTAATATTAACCATCTTTCTTTTTAAAAACATAGAAATGTAATTCAATGGTCTAGTCTACAATAAAATCAAGAATTGGATTCAAATACATAGTATAATGTACCAGTAGAAAAAAAAAACCTTCCCTTGTTCCATGGAAGGAAGCAGCATCCATAGAACTTGAATGAGAATTCAAATGAGCTGTTTGAATGAGAATATAAATATATATGAAAAAAACATTTTCCTCCCATCTTTAGCAATGCCATTTAAGACCAACATAGAACTAGTTTCTGAGTATTCTTGTTTTTATTTCCACTCCTAATTTTTTTTCATTTTCTGTCTTAAATTGTCACCTTGTGGTCCTGAAGGCAGAAATAGCCTCTTTCTATTGAAGCCTTTTCAGCTGAAATCCAAGTACAAATGTTTTAAAGAGACATAAATAATTCTATAACATCACACTCACTGATAGCTTGAGTTTTACAATGCTCATTGTGAAAGCCACAAACTGGTTTGTCTTTAGGAATTTCTCCATTTGACCAACTGATGTAGTTCATTTCTGCAGTGGGACTAAAGATAATATGAGGAGGAAGAGGTTAACATTAAAGGGTCAGTTATGCTTTTACAGAAAGAAGTTTTATTTAAATGAATTAATATTTTGAACTTGTGTGAATCAACCCATACTTAAAAAGTGATTTATAAATTACATTATCTTTTTTGTCACATTGTCTTTCTTTTTTGAAATGTGTTTAATAAAATTTGCATGTATTTTAATTAAAAGAGAATGTGATTATATCAGCATACTGATGGCACTACATTCCAGCAATTTCTCCCAGGCTTCAAGTAAATTCTAAACAATATGGAAGACAGTGAATGGAGGTTGGCAACACTTTTAAGTCTTCCAGATGAAGATGCAGTCCTACTCCTCAAGTGATATGAGCCCTCTGTTGTTCACATGATAATATAACTAATATTATAATATATAACATAACATAACATAACTGGGAGATGGTAATTGTGAGAGATGCAGATACAGCCCAGTGCTAATGGCATTGTGTCTGTGGATATAAATATACTAACAGTGTGGTGCTCACTCTGCCTTTTATCTTCTGGGTGATCTGCATAATTACAGAAAGGATTCCAAAGCATATCGTTAGCATACCAACGTTATAAGAGTCATCCCCAAGTCAAACAGAGGAACATGGGAAAAGGCTAGAAAGGATTGGCTGTTTAGGTATAGTTCTGAGGGAGCAAGACAAAACACTTAGTTACCAGGCAACAAACAGGCTCTGATTAGTTCTTTGCACATCTAGAATTCTAAGAAGGTTCCATTGGCAGCTGCCATGGGACAGCCTGCACATGACTTTTCTCCATCCCAATTTTCCATTACTCTTGTTCTGGGTGAGCCACCCAAGATAAAGTGTATATGAGCATGTGTTAAGGTTTAATTCCTGGCAAGCTGGATATTTTTGTTTTTCCATTTTCTGCATATTGTGTGAAGCTTAGTAAGCATTATGTTTGTTTGTTTGATTGATTTAAATCCTGCCTTTTGCTCAAGGTGGAATATATAGTCCTTCTTCTTCTTCCTGTTTTCCCTACAACAACCACTCTGAGAGATATGTTGGACTGAGAATGACTGGCCCAAAGTCACTTACTTCCATGATAGACTGTGGTCCTTAATTGAAACTTGAATTTCCATGTCTACTTCCATTTAGTCAATACTTAAAAGCTTGTCTATATGATTTCTCCCTATAAATATAACTAAAACAGTATGTGATCAGAAACTATAAGATTTGTACTCATGATGTTGCTGCAACATAGGAACAAAATAAGTATTGACAGGGTGCTTAGTTATGACAAACTGTCTCAGTTCCTTATTCTAAGCAACTATGTCAGCCTTACCAGGTAGACCAGACGGGAAGCATGACCAAATGATCTAATTCTATTTTATTGTAAGGCTACATTAACAGAATCTTGCAAGTCTGAAAGTACAATTCTCTCCCCCCACCCCCATCTTCTTTGCACCTTGAGAATCAAGGAGGGTCTCTTCTGAGCCTCTTGCCCTGCCCACTATCCATCTATAGACTATGATGTCTCTTATCTGACCATTCTCTAGGCAGCGTCTCTGGGCCCAGTCTCGTAAGGTCATTCCCACATTCCATTACAACCATGACTTTAAGGTTTTCTGAGTGTCTGAACTAAGACAAAAATGATTAAAATACCTACTTTGAAGTCAAACCTAAATAAACTTTGCATTCTGAATTTCCTGAACTCTCTGAACACTATAACTATTCAAACAAATGTCACACTTAAAATCAGTGCCCCATACTGTAAGCTGATTCCACCTTTATAGAACATTATCCACATATGTACTGTAAATTCTACTGGTGCAGATTCTATACGTACCTAGCCACAGTAGTATCTAACTGAGCTTTGCTGATTTTGAAAAGCAATTTGAGTTAGAGCCATTAAATGCTTGGAGAGCACCAGAAAGTGAGGGTGTAGGCTAGACTGGATAGTTGAGAAAACATCCCAGAAGGGCAATGTCAAGCGACTTTCTTATTATTACCAAGAAAACTATATGGACATGTTCATGAGGTCACCAGGGGTTAAGCTCAGTTTGAAAGAAATTTTACTAGATTCTGTACACATTAACTCAATCTTACAGAACAAGGAACACATGAAAAGCAAGAGTCAGATTGCTCCAACTCATAGAACTTCCCATAAAAAGAACAGGGACTATGATTCTGATTGAAGAATTCTTCAATAGGTGAACAAGGGAACTATATTTTGTACTTGACAAACTAAATCTTTATGTATAATATTTTCATACTATCTGAAAGATTAAATTACAGAGTATTTATGAAATATATAGAAGCAGAAATACCTTACTGTTCTTCTGTAACTATCAAAGTTAAGAACTGGAATGAAGTGAGTAGAATTTCCAGATACCTGAAGATCATACACAGAGTAATCCATTTTTCTCTCACCTAATTCATCAATTTGCACAGGGCCAGTGATGCCTAAATAACAAAGACATTCAAGATACAGATTGTTAAAAATGTCTTATATGCCCTATTTTTCCTGGGATTATTCTTATATGCCCTATTCTTCCTGGGATTATTCTTCTGAATCTTCAAAATTCTCAGAGATTATGTTGCCAAACCTATTGGTCCTCCCCATTCCATATTAGCCAAATAGTTACTGACTGAAATAGAAATATTTCCAAGAATAGCATTAATCAATGAAGCAATTTGAAGAATGAATTGTTTTATTGATTTCTGCATTTAGAACTATTTCTTTCAGTCTGATTACAAATACAGTAGCATGTGAATAGTGAGAAAAAGATCCCTTCCCATTTTGTCTTTGGCCCTGCTCACATTTAACATTCAACACCTCCATTGGGCAATATGGCTATTAAAATATTCCTATTCTTGTTTATATGGAGATCCTTGGGAGGTTATTCTACTTTCAGAAATGATGTTCCCATGGCGCGGTTATCCATGATATGCTTACTCCCAGTTTATTCAGCCTACTTTTCTGGGTTTGCATGAGACACTTAACTATAACCTAACCACACAGGCTAGTTCAGATACCATCCCAGCTTCTTTGTATTTTGGTGTTTTGGGCAACCTCAGCCAAAGGCTTTGTTGTATTATTGGCCCGTCCACATTGCAATGACTGGAATCTTAACAAACTTACCATACAGAGGGGTTTTATTATAGCCTTTTAAAGTGTTAATAAGTGCCCTTCCATCATGGAAATCCTTTTTGTCTTCTGACATTTCTTTTACAGATGATGCATAAAGCAAAACAGCATCATAAAGGTAGGCAGCATAAGAATTTACCTGAAAAAGATACAATATATGAAAGAGTTGGACTTCTGAAAAAAAGGTCAAAAAAGGCCCTTTGAAACTGTCCGATTGCAAATTTGGCTGGTCCAGGACGACAGGATTCTTGCTTCTTTAATAGTATGGTAGAGGATGGATTTTCAGCAATAATCCTGTACTAATTTGCAGAGGCCACACTAATGCAATTTTAGCAGTTTATTCCAAAAGCTATTACACATTAGAGCCAATTTGTAAAGGTGAAGGTTGAATCTTTCTATTTAAAAGTTAAACTACCAGAATTGAAACAGTTAAAAATAGCATCGTCCACTCCCAATATACTTGCTGGGCACACATCCCATGATTAATTAAATTAGATACAGTTTAAGGATACATTTGCAAAACATGTAAAATTTGGATAGGATTAACCTCATTCAAGCTTTTTGAAGTTTAGCCTGGTTTGAGAACACAGCCTGCTTGTTAGATTATATTTTAAGTAATATATCCAAGAGACAGTAAGTTGTATATTTTATTACTACTGTAAAGAAATAATGATTATGTTACTTTATATTTTATAAAGGATAAAGTAATACATCCTAAACTCTTTCAGATGCAGCCCCACTTATTCCAGTACATTTGCATAACAATAAATGGATTACTGCCTTTGACAATGGACAACATAATTGCTAACCAAGCTGGCTGTTAATGATTTCTAGAATAAACCACAGTTGCTGGATTCACCTGTAATACAAAATTTGTAAGCCACAATGTCTGTGTCACATAACACACACTAAGCCTTAACCAAACTTATCACACTATGACTTAACATTTTGTGTAAACCCAAGAGTAGTTTCCCTATATACAGTATGAAGAATTTCATTATATTATTCTCCTTGCTATTAACATTTTGACCAATGTACTAATTAGGACATCCAGCCCCCCAAATGGTCACCATTTTGTGAAATCCAAAGACCATGACCTTAGATACAAAGCCCAATTTACACAAACCCAAAATGGCAACTATTTGGGCTTTATTTGAACCAGGGAGTTTAGCTAAAGAGCTGCATACAGTCCAGGTGGGTGAGATGGTGGCATATGTTAGTTAACTGACATTGGCTAGCATGTCCTGCCAACATAGTCAGAGTCACAGCTCCTAAGTTTTAAAACTGGTAAAGAATAAGGAAAGAACAATAACTACCATGTTATTGCAAGGAATATTGAGTTAGTGCCATTTCTTTACTCTGATAATTTCACCACAGCATGATTTTTAATTTCACAGAATCCTTAGTTCAGCCTTTTTCAACTTGATGCCCTCCAAATTTGGGGGGTAACTCAAGCCCACATTGCTAATGACAAAGGGTTTGAGAAGTTGAACTCCAAACAACTAGAAACCACCATATTGGAGAAAGCTACATGAATGAGCTGATTAATGGTTAGTTAAATATTGGGTATGTAACAGAATTGGTAGCACTGGCATCAAATCAAGACATGGAAATGGGAAAAGATTCCTTCAAGATATTCCTAGGTAAGGACATATTCAATTAATGGCAGTAAATATGACCTTTTCCTGTAAAGAGAATAAACTGTAAGAGGGCTGCTTTTCCTTCGATTTGTCATGGAGCTCCTTCATGAAATCAGAATAGGTCTTATATTCCCTGTAAGACCTAAGAGCTATTAAAAATACAGGCTGATAAACATCTAAGATGCTGGTGTTTTCATTATTCCAAGTCTCTTCCAAAAAATAGGCCTGGAAGACAAGAGAGAGAAAATGTGAGTTCTAGTAATAAATGTGCATAATTCAATTGGTGTGTCTCAGTGTGTGAACTGAGCACCATCCACGTTCAGTATCAGATACCTCACAGATTTGCCAATGAGGTTTTCAACAGCTTTTTTTTCAAAAGGAAAATCCCAAATACATGGAGAAGTGAGTAAAGAGGTGCTGAGGGAATAAAGAGTTCTGAACTATACTATGTATCTCCAAAACAATTAACCTTTACAAATAGGCACAAATACACACATTCAATTCCCATTTCTGTATAGAGTACATTAGTGTAGTACGGGTAGAGATTTAATAGGGTCCATTCCTAAAAACTGGAGGGATGATTATTCAGTGTAAGGAGCCTAACTACCATCATTATAGTCACAATACATATAGTACCAAAATACCTTTACTCAACTGGACTGTTTCACCATTGTTCTTGGGCTGGGCCTGACAATTGGTGGGCTTGTCAGTGACCTTTGATGGGTTTGGAATGGGGAGAGTGCATCCATCCTGGCCCTCCTAGACCTCTAAATGGCTGTCTACACCATGAACCATGGTTGGAGTGAGAGACATGGTGTTGTGATGGTTCTCCTTCCTTTGGCCAGTTCCAATTGGTGTTGGGAGGTGAGCACTTTCATTTAACATTTACAGTAAGCCACTGGGGGAGTTATCCTTCAGCATGGTGTGCAGAATCATCAATATGCTAATGATATTCATTTGTATTATCTCCACCCCCTGGACAATCAAAGTGATGTTCTCAAGGTTCTATTCCAGTATCTGGATGGAGAAGAACAGCCCTTTTCAACCCTAGTAAGACCTAGTGGCTGTGGGTTTTGAGTTGTTTTGATCCTGGGACTGAGATTTTCCAACTTTGGCTAGGGAATAGGAGAGAGGTTGTACAATGCGGGAGTTCTCCTGGACTCACCACTCCTCATGAAACAGCAGGTGTCAGCTATGGCCAGGAGACCCTTTGCACATCTTCATCTTGTGTGCTAATTGCATCCATTCCTGGATTAAGAGATCCTGCTTTTTGTCACTCATGCCTTAGTGACCTGCTGTCTGGATTATTGCAATGTGGTCTACATGGGGCTGCCCTCAAAGACTATCCAAAATTCATCCAGAATTCAAAGACCGAAGGGAGAACATTACATTATTTAATTATATCTTAGCCCTTTAAGTTAACCAAGACTATGTGTTAAGTTACCACAATCTATAGGTCTACCCTCTTCCAAAATATAAGTTACAGAAAACAGATACACTTGAACCAGGGATGCTTTTGGTTGGAAAGCTTAGAGGATTTTTGTCTTCACTTGGTTAAAACAATTATTCAGTATCTTATTGGAATCCCTCACATGGTGAACTGGGTTGTCATGTTTCCCTTTTTGATAATGTAATTTGGGTATTTCATCTCTGTGCTATGAGCTAAAGTAAGCATTAGAACCATAGTTTTTCTTGCCCAATTATGCAATCTAAAAAAATGTTTTAAACATGGTAATAAAATACCCATTGCTACTTACTGACCTCAAACTGTTGTAGAACAAAGAACACATATGGTCCACTTGTCATACCTAATTCTTTGGCCTGTAACAAAATGGATCTTGCATCCAAAGAATTGCAGATTAAAACAATAACTGCAAAGAAATTGAAGCAATTAGTTGTCACTTATCTAAAGTTAATACACAAGAAAATGGAAGCTTGAAGCAACCAGAAATCAATTCTATAGCATTACAAAGATGAAGTCAAAGCCATTTATTTATTATTGTTCACTGCACACAGAAGTGTAGGGTTGTGCCTTATTAAGTAATACAAATGTCCTTTGCCATATTAAGTGTAAAAGGGTATAAGTCCCTTTAAATATGTTTGGTGAAGCAGCTTGGCAGAGAGAGCTTGGGATGATTTGCAACTGAACTGATATGGATAGTTATGCCTGGCATGCAAGTGGCAGAGAAGATAGACAGCAGTGAGTCTATGGCTTTGGGCATGGAGGTGGGATTGAGATGATGGGAATGAATCTGCCACTGAATAAAAACTGCCAGCGTAGGGATTGTAACTCACAGAGATTCCCCTTCTCTGATTTCTTTTTTTTTAAAAAGACAGCCACTATTATGAAAATTCTCAAAAGTTGAATGAGTTACTGTCCATTATTTACATAAGTCTATGCTATTCAGAATCCTGAATTTGTACTCTTTTAAACTTCTAGCACTTTAATGCATGTGCAGGGATGCAGGGATGCAATATGGTACTTTGATGTACCCAAGTGGCTAGCTCCATTTAAATCAATGTAATTACCCATCTGCAGAATTAAACCTTAAATGAATAATATGTTATAAACTGTTGCAATTCAGAAGGACTATATTCCTTGTACTCCAGAGGCAAAAAATTATACTTTGAGTCTTTAAAAGTCTCTAAATAGATGACAGAAACATCATCTACCACATGTGCCCCTTAGTAGGAATATCATTAGCAGCCAAATATGTAGATATCTCTATACTATGATATGATCCAAAGTGAAATTACTATAGCCATTTTAAAATTATGTTTCTCAATACTAGGCATTGTATTAATAATTCTGATTACAAACAGCCATTAACTAACTGGAAGTTAATCACATATTTCCCTCCAACTCTTTCCCTCAAAACATGATAATGGGGAAGATTAAGTATTTTATCTTACTTTATTGGAAAGAGCTCAGGTATTTCTGTAATTTATACTAATTACATTTTCTTTCCCTTTCTTCTGAAACTTACTTCTGGCTACAGATGATATATAGTTGAGCTTCTGTTCATGAAGGCTTTGATCTTGTGTATTGTATCTCACCTTCGCAGTGATTGTTATACTGAATTTGATTTGGTTTTCTATAGATGTCCATAATTCCTCTGTTTCATCTGACATAAATGCATCATATGAACTTCCAAAGAGACCAACATATCTCCACCCAAAATACTGAAGGGTTTTATGCAGTACTTCACCTATCAGATGCACTGGTGAGACAAGGTTGACATAGGTGTCATAAAGAAATGAGTCACTCATCTTGGCGGTTTGGCCAACAAATCCAAACATGGGAATATTCCACTGAGAAGCAAGCAAACCTGTAACCTGGGTGAGAAAAACATTAATAATTACATTACTTAATAACACTGAATAACTGTATATAACTTTATTTTGGATTACCATCTATATGAATGCATGAAGAAATGTCAACTTGATCCCATTTGGATTTTACAAAAAAATTAAGCAATGTTATGGAGGCTGCAGGAAGATCCAGAAAAGAGCTGTCCAAAAGATAGCCAAAAATTATCAAGAAGATTTGGAAATATAAGAAATCAGCTTCACACTGACATCTATGATATTATTGTTTTATGGTTTGAAAGCAATATATTTTGATTTATTTTGTCATGTCTATGTCTAGTAAAATAGACGTGCTTTTTTGTTTTCTATCAATACTTCTCTCTCTCTCTCTCTCTCCCTGTGTATATAAGTTAATCCTCTGTTCAAATTCAATATCTGATTAAATACTAAGATTAGTATGCCTATGTGACACCTCTGCTTTGCAAGTTGCACTAAAAAGCCTGTTTATTTGAGGGACTGCCTATCTCCCATGGTTTCTGCTCAGCTAGTACAAGCCAACAGAGTTGGTGTACTCCAGGTCCCTTCAATTAAACAGTGCCATTTGTCAGGACCAGAAAGCATGCCTTCTCAGTTACCTGTGAGAACCAGGTGGCTGTTACCTTTATGGAATTCTGGAAAGCCTTAAAAGATCTGGCTGTTTTCCCAGGCCTTGGCCTAGGGTAGATGGAGCCCTGTGTTGGTTGCATTTTGTATGTATTTTTCGGTGTAGTCTGGCCAGATTCTATATCTTATTCATAATTTTTGCACTGTATTTATTTTGTTTTGTTATATTGTAAACTGGCCAGAATTGGTCTGGAGTCAGGTGGTGCCTAAATCAAATAAATAAATATATGTGTCATTCTGAGTCCCACACTGAATATTAATGATATTGTGCAAATATCACAAAATCTTTAAGATTTGTTGCCTTTCAGCTTTAAATGAACAATACTCAGGTTATACGTAGTGTTTTCTGTCATTGGCTTTGATTGAAATATCAATGGAAATTTCATAAAGACATGAAGCTCTTGGGAGTGGCACATTCATAAAGTTGTAAGAGACAGTTCCATATAGACAGATCAGGGATGGGAACCTATATTCTCCAAATGCTGCTGAACTATTATTCAAGTCATAGTTCATCAAAGGTCTGGATTTTTCCTGGGCTCACATAGTAGCCACCTCATAGGAGATGGCAAAATGAAGTATTGACCATGCTGCCTTCTATCGATGCCTCCTTAACTCAAATGCATATTTTCCTAATATCTTACAGCTACCATGTGTCAAGCTCTACACAGCCAGGCAAGATCAAGGAAGCAAAATCTACACAGATTTCAGAAATATATCTTTAATGCTTTAAATATTCTAAATATAGAATCTTGGACATTGCAAGAAGAATTTCCAACATTCATTTATAGTGATTTTATTAGGACAGTGTCTCTGAATTATTTGAAATGTTTCTTCCCAGGTTTCTTGACACCTGGGCTAAGATACCATCTTTAAAACAATCTGTCAGTGGACTGATATTCTTTATTTTGATTCCTTATCTCTATTCTCCCTTCAATTACTTTCCCAGCCTCCCCACTATCTCTCAATTCTTCCTATTCCCTAGTCCCTCACAAAATGTCTGAATGCAATCACCCTTACTTCTGCAGACTTCAAAATGCCAAGAAAAGATAGGGAACATCATCTATCAATCGTAGCTCACTTTAGCTAACCAATAAGAGAGTGCAAAAACCATCATCCAGTCAGCGGATCACCTCCTGTGCTACTGCAGATCTTGGAATAACAGCAGTCTTCCCACCTCTATTCTATACAAAATAGAAATAAAATAAACTGCATCTGGGGAGGGAGAGGCTAGGGGCTTTTAAGGAAAGGAAGTGCTCCTATTCCCATTCTTCTTTGTTTTTAAAATTACAGTATCATTTCCATCTTCTTGTGATGTCTCCCTACTTTGGTAAGGTCAGTTATACTACTCTACTGGTCAAGGGAGCAAGTCAGGATTCCAAGCCTGGGAACACTGCCTACACCTGCTGCAGCAGTGTGGGGAAGAGAGGGGGATACATTCTAAATAATGCTTAGAGGCTGGAACCAGGAAAAGAAAGTTGTGTGAGTGGAGAATGTGAAACCAGCCTACACATTCTGCATGACTTCAGCATTGCAAAGGGAAAATCAGCCTTGCTTCAATTTCAAATAAGCCACAGAACCAGAAACTCAGTTCCTTTAACCATCTGACATTATGAAATCAGAAAGATCTGGAACTTATTCTAACCACTTATATAGAGATGGCCAAAGACTGACAAGGGTATTAGTTGATTAACACATGAGCTGCCTGGTGCATGGAGATGGGTGGAGGTATTCATCTACAGTTTTCAGCTTCCGTCTAGAATAGCTTTACTTGAAGGGATACAAAATCAAAGAATTTAAACCAGTCATTTCCCCAAATCACAATGCCCACCCAGTGAAATTATAATAGAAACAGATCAATAAAGTCACTGGTTCTCAGGAATAATCCAGCACAAAACAGAGTATTGTAAATTTTCCATATTAGCCAGGTGCGGGGTGGTGGTGGTGGTCAGATGAGCTGACTGGCTGCATTGCCCAGGAACTTCTCCAGGACATGCTAGCCAGGAGCAGTACTTTCCCACCCGCTCCAGAAGCCTCTGGCTAGGAGCTTTGACCTCTACACAAGTGGGAATTGGCTATTTCAGGAAAAACACCAACATTGAATGCAGTGGGAAAGGGTTATTTAAGAAGTGTGTACAAGATTAGATAGGCACGGAATGAATACGGATTAAATACAAAAGTTGATGGTCAGCGTGAGAGAAGTATACTGAAGTGGTTTGGTTATGTAGAGAGAATGAATTAGGATGAAATTGTGAAAGCAATATGTAAAGTAAGAGTGAATGGATTAAGAGGGTGGAGAACGTATGGTTGGAGCAAGTGGCAAGATTTCCAAAAAGAGTGTGATGAAAAGTTTAAAGAAAAAGCAATGTATGTAGGCATCCTTTCTAACCCCAGCAACATCAAAATAACAAAATGATTTGTGTCATGACATCCCACACAAGAATGTTGATGGCAGAGTTTGCATAATGATGTACACTTTACTATTTATCCTCCCTTGTCCTTCCACCCCCACTCCCCTGGATACCTATGCACGTGCAGAGTTATAGCGGGCCTTCTCTGCGGTAGCCCCCACTCTTTGGAACATTCTGCCCCCGGAGGTGCAGTTGGCTCCCTCACTCCTGGCCTTCCATAAGGCTTTGAAGACCTGGTTCTGCCACTTGGCCTGGGATGGGGAGGGAATACCTCAAGCA